TCGACCCCATGAAAAATATGACGTTGATTGTCTTCTTCCTAGTATGAAATCGGGTAATCGAGGAGTAATGGTATGGGGATGTTTTACCCGAAATGCACTCGGACCATTAATCGAAGTTGACGGTGCAATAACTGGCCAAAAATATGTAGAATTGTTTGAACTGCATCTTCGACCATTTTTAGATGAACTACCAGCTAGTTCTGTTCATCTTTTTCAAGATGATAATGCGCCGATTCACAGAAATTATCATGTTGATGAATGGAGAGAGAGAAATCTAACAGCTTCACTTCCATGGCCTGCACAGAGTCCTGATCTAAAAACAATTGGGATGTTGTGGAAAGACGAATTCGTGCACGACTAACACATCCCAAAAATCCGGAAGAATTGATGGATGCACTCGTGGAGGAATGGAATAATTTATTTAAAGAGAAAAGTCATCAAAATTCGTGACCTACATTCCTGATCATTTCCCGATTGTCCAGTGTATGTTCAAGTCATATCCATTTTTGTACTTCGCATTTGCGTTTCTTTTTACCGAATAATAAAAACCGTTAATTATTGTTCACATCATATCCATTTTTTATACTTCGCATTTGCAATACAGGAAAAATAAATTTCTAACGATTTCTTTGGGGTACAACATACTCCCCACCAATACAAAATAGGAGTATCCCGGGTACTAAAATGGACATTGGAAATACCGGATACATGGATCAGCAGTTTACGCTAATCTCAAAAAACTCTGCACAAACTGATTTAGGGTTAAAGATGAATTCAGCTTCAGTCACGACAATTATTAAATTTGATAAATGAATTAAAGTGTTGTGGATCATTCACCTCAGCGCTGAGTTGGTACATGTACATATATTTTTGTTTCAGTTAGCCACTAATAAATAAACATATGAATTTCCTTATTTAGAATATACTTTATCGTTATTATTTAACACGCTAATTTGAATGATATTAAACACTAGGATAAAGGTAATGGTTGGTTATGGTTAGAGAAGCAAGTTTATATGTAAAATTGCCTTCCCGACATTTTTAATTAGTATTCCAATACAGAATTAGGCATTGGTTTCTTTATAATATTCATTTTTTCATACACTTTAACAACTCCCAAAAGAAGCAAGCGCACGAGATAACTCAAAAACAAAGAATTTATAAATCGGAAAATTAGTGTAACATTTGTGGGTGATAAACTTGTTATTAACGTTATGAACTTGTATTATCGTTACGTATACCGTATACTATACACGTATGCATGAAAAATCCTGATTGTGTATATATGTTAATCACTCTACCACTAGTGCATGTAGTGTGGGAACAAACACTTTTTTCCCTCTGACAAAATACTCTTCATTTATGGAAGAAGAGAGAGCAAATACACCATTGGAACACCTTTTCCGCCTTCCATTTGATTTTAACGAGGATGACAGACTTGGACCATGGGACATCCTGATAAGTGAAGGCGCAGTAGAATATATGTCACTTTTGCGATCACCTTTGACGGTTAAAGCTATCATAACAAAACTCGGAAAAATATCTTCTGGGGCTTGGGATAAGCATAGACTAAATAATAAAATTTCATCTTTCGCAATTCCTGTTTATGAAATAGAACTTCACGATCATGACAGCACAAAAATCCTCTGGCAAGTTGACACTGAGTTTTCTGTCCGTAGCTATCAAATTATGCAAATTGTGAAAGTTTGGGTTATCACTTCCAGTCAAGATGAAATTGATAAGACTTTAAAGAATCTCAGGATGCTTCATCAGGTTTACAAAGCTGGGCAAAGTGATAGGTGTACTATTCGACAGATTGGTATAGATAATATAATTTTGCCAATACTATTTGGAGAGGAAATGACAAAATCTACTGCGAACGATTCTTACAGCACTCGAATGGATGACGAAAGGCTGTTAGAAGTTCACAAAATGCTTGTTACAAATAAATTCATTCTGTTATCAAAGGTAAAAATGCATTAGATATCATAGTGATTAGGAATGTTAAGTTGAAATTGATGTAGGTCTATATTGTTTGCAGAATTTATTCAAATCACTAGTAATGGGTGGCACCGGTTTTACTTTTCAAGTTTCAAAAGTAGAGCACGAAATCATCAAAAGTCCCACTTCAACTATCATAATTGGTCGATCAGGTTAGTAATCTTGTTTTGACGGTTAACAGTGAGCACCTATTTAATTCCATCTTCTCACAGGTACAGGAAAGACCACATGCATTTTGTTTAGACTACTTGCCTCCTATGTCAAAGATTCGAGCTATCTATTTTATAAGACACCATTATATACAGTCGATAAGGAGGACCAAGATAATCCTCACAAGAGGCAAATCTTCATCACAGCGAGCCCCTATTTATGCAATCGGATAAAGAAATACTTCTACAAGCTGAAAGAATCGGCAAAACACGCTAAGATAAAAATGACATTTGCTGAGTTTCAAGAGTATGCTAGAAAAAAAGAGAAAGAAGGCCGCAATGCGGGTCCGAATAATAATAAAATGCAGGAAGAGGGAGATGAAGATAAGGCTCTAAGTGAGATCCCAAACTTTTCTCAACTAACAGACAATCATTTTCCATTATTCATTACCTATGAAGAATTCTCTAAGATGCTTGAGGGAACATACGAAATTAATGTTCGAAAGCACGCTCAACAAGCAAAAATAAATGATGATGACGATGACGATGATGATGACACTTATAATGATAAGGAGAAATTCTGTCGCAAATTATCTTTATTTAACACATCATGGGCTCATTTCGTAACCTACGATGTTTTTGAGAAAAGGTATTGGAAACATTTTAATAATGATAACAAACTGGACTGCGAGCTGGTTTATACTGAATTTTCTATTATAAAGGTATGTAACCTTGTATAAAGACTCTATTATATTTATATTTTTACATTTTTTTTAAATTTTTTAGGGATCAAATCCCGAAGGAAGGCATTTGTCAAGGGAAGAATATCGGTCCTTAAGAGCTAAAAAATACCCCGTATTTTGCCAACAACGGGATAAAATTTACGACTTGTTTTTACGATATGAAAAGCTAAAGAAAAAGAAGTATATCGGTGATTATGATTCGATAGATCGGTAAGACCTGTGTATATTATTAGTTTTTGATATAATTCATGAATTCTTAAATTTTTTATTGGCAGAACACTAGCTATTTTACGTCATACTGCGGAAAAAGAATTTGAAAGTCCACATATTCATGAAGTATATATCGATGAATGCCAAGACAACCAGATCGTGGATTTTGGTCTTATCTTGAAGATTTTTGATCGTATTGATAGTATTTTTTTAGCCGGAGATATAGCGCAATGTATAGCCAAGGGCTCTTCTTTCCGATTCCAGGGTATGTATCATTTATATATATATATATATTTAGAACTCGAGTAATGCTTTTAATTTTTTTAACAAAAAATGTAGATCTACGCGCCTTGATGTATAACTGGGAACTCACTCGAACTCAAGCTTATCATATTCCTCATAAAACTGTATATCCAAAACAATTTGAGCTAAATATTAATTACCGTTCCCATAGTGGGATTCTTCGACTTGCTTCTTCGGTAATTGATCTCATCTGGCAATTTTTTCCTGAATCAATCGACAAACTATCACGTGAGCATAGCGAGGTTGGCGGTCCACGGCCTATAATATTTAAGGGGTTTCAAGCCAAAAACGATGAGAATACTAAGGATGACACCCAACTCGGAGCTAATCAGGTCATTATTGTACGAGACAAAGAATCTAAATCAAAAGTCAAAAAAAAAATTGGAAAAGCTGGAATGGTGTTGACAGTTTATGAGGCGAAAGGGATGGAATTTAATGACGTTTTATTGTATAATTTCTTTACAGATTCTCCCGGACGTCAAAAGGCACATTTATTTACTGAATTTTTATAATCTTTTATTGCTTTTATCTTCTATTAAAAATTGTTTTTTTTGATATATGTATAAATCATAGTGGCAAAGAATTTTTTTCGAGCATCATTATATTCTTTCATCTGAACTTAAGAACCTCTATGTCGCAATTACCCGGGCACGGCAACACGTTTGGATATTTGATGAGGAAAGCGAATACATCGAACCAATCCGCAAATACTGGCAAGGTCTTGAACTAATCAGAAGTGAAGATGAAGCAAGCACTTTTTCTACGTTGTTTAAGAAGTTTTCTATGTTGATTAAGAAGAGTAGTCCATTAGAATGGGATCAAATGGGAAGGGAATTTTTTGAAAAGCGACAGTATGAACAGGTTGAAATTAATTTCAATATTTAGCATTATTTAATGGCTTTGAAAAACTAAAAGAATGAAATTATTTTCAGGCTATGTTCTGTTTCGAGAAGAGTGGGAATGATGAAAATTTTAAATTAGCTGAGGCCTATTATTTGCAACAAATAGCAAGGATCTCCATAGATGATTCTGACGAAGATACTGTGAAGTCGAAATTTCGTCATGCAGCTCTTGCTTTTCGAAAATGTTCTCGGCCAATACAGGCGGCTTCATGCTATGAGGTATTCCTCCAAATTGATTACTGTACGTACATAAACATTGTAAACTAATTTTAAAATATACAGAATATCGACATGTATGAAAAAGCTGCTGAAGTTTACATTGAATGGGATATGTTTGAGAATGCTGCACGTTGTTATCTCAAGGTCCCTAGTGAAAATGCGGGAAAGTATGAAAATGCGGGAAAGTATTTCGAAAAGGCTAACATGTACACTGAAGCTGTTGATGCTTATGACAAGTGTCAATGTTATGAAAAAGTCATTAATTTGATGCATAGGTAATAACTCCTTTATAAACAATTTTGATATTCAGAAACAATATATCCTAATCTTATAAATAAATCTTAGAGAAAATATTGACAAGGATAAGGATATCATACGTCGTGCTAATCTCCATTACCGTAAGTTGAAAGACAGAAAAATGAGTGCGAAAGCTCTTTCCATTTTTCCAACTCTGGAGGAACAATTAGATTTCCTTCGAGAGCATGCTCATGAAGAGTTTTTAGAATTTTGTGAGAAGAATGGTCTATTTAGCGACATCGCTAAGGACCTACGCTCGCGTGAGAGGTTCAATGAGGCGGCTGATATTTTCCTTCGCATGGTTGGCGTGTTTCCTTGCCTAATTACCAAGGAGGATGAAATTAAGGAGTATTTAAAATGCTGCTTAGATCTATGTAGGATCAAATTAGTGAGTCCGAATTTCTCTCAAATAAAAGGTCATCTCTTCAAGGCACTCGATATTATTTCAAAAGTCAATTCGCAAGCTTGGGAGAGACCTGAAGAATACAAGAGTATAAAAGAAGAGTTCCAATTATATCAAACTTATTGGAATTCGGATCTTGATGGAATCCGCAAGTTCATACAATTATTTAGAAGACGTCAAGATCGTATCTTCGAGTTTCGTGCAATAATCATACGGTTGTATATCTCAAAATTTGATATTCAGACTGAGAACTGGGAGGAGCGATTACATTGTCTATTGAGAATGTGTGAACTGGCCTTACTCTTTATAGCACCTCAGAAAAGTGACAATATTACAAGAATTAACAAAGATTTTCAGAATATTTTTTATGTAAACGAAATTGCGAACCGTCCACGTAAACGACAAATATCTATTAACAATCATATTCTCCATATTCTGAAACAAAATAATCAAAAAACGGTAGAAATTCTGGATGGTTGGCATATATTTGACGAGAAGATTTTGAACTCTGCTATCTCGCAATCTCTTGCTTTGTTCATCTATAAAAACATCTTGGAGGCTGGTCAGAAGGGTAAAGAAATTCAAGATATAAACTCTGAAATATGCTTTAAATTTGCATCCTGTTTAAAGAAAGGTTGTTCGAAGTATCACGTTATTCCAACACCTTCAATTCTGCGCAAACGTTTCTCACTCGCTTGTCTTCAGTACACTGTGATGCAACGGGTGAATGTCTTTCATCAGCACAGGCTTTTAAAAATGGGACAAATTGAGAAAATTCGTGGATCACAAAGATGGTGGGCTGAAAGACTTGTGAAAATTCATATCCGTTATCAATCTCCTCAAACAAGCTGCCCAGAAGTCATCTATGCGGTGCTTGCTGACCAACCCGAGGACGTACGTGATGGTTTATTATATGTCGCTCACAACATTTGGCTGCATCATGTGTTTTCTAATCCAAATGACTTTTCGGCCATGTTAAAATGCATGCTTGTCCTTCACCAATTAAAGGACAAACGGGGGATTGATAAATTCGATTTTCAAATGTCAAAAAGAAGGATACTAAAACACCCTAATAAGAAAACACCTACTAGTATTGATTACTATTCTAGATACCAGTCTACTCTTGTTGGAAAGCAACTTCCATTATTCTTTTCAAATCTAGATAATAACCATGTGTTAGATGCGATCACGCACATAAAAATGGTTATTCAATACGCTATCAACAATAATAAACTAATTAATATAAAAACATCCGACACATTCGGCGATCTTATATCATTTATGGAGTTCAAAACATCTTTGGTTTTTGCAGTTGGACCTGAATCTTGTGATTTTTGCCTCCCTCGAGCTTATTTGGTCAATTATTTTAAAGCATTTACAGTGGCGCCATTTATTCATCGTCAACATAGTTACAACAAAGATGATTATTTTGACGAAATCAAGAACTCTATTGATCAAGTTCAGCAGCTCCTCGATTTGTTGATTTCTACTGGACGAGTTTATTTGTTCATTATCCTTAGATTGATACGAATCTTAGTTCTTATAGGCTTAAACGAACAAAAGTTTGCAACCAGGATCTTTGAACTTTTTAAACACTTGTCCAAACCTTTGAAAGAAAGAAGACTATTTTCTTCCAAGCTTACAAAATACTTAAACGAAAGCTCTATGACTCGTCTTGCGTTCATTCTTCATGATGACCTCAAAGAGACTGATTTCGACTCCTTGGTAATCGTCCATTATCATTTAGAAGACTCGTCAAAATTTTTAGACTTAGAGAAGCATGGTATTATAAAGCTTAAATATACCTCGGTCGAACAATTTCATTCTGCTCTTCAACAGATCATAGCACCAATAATTATTGAAGAGCGCGATCCTTCAGATAAGCAACAGAACACTGTATTAATGCCAATAGCTTCTGTCAGTGAAGATGATCTGAATAACGAAAAGTTTGAAATACCCAAAGAAGCCCAAGAATCGATCTATTTTCCTGAGGCTAAAGAACGTGATTCTTCAGATAACCAGCAGAACATTGTATTAACGCAAATCGATTCTGATAGCGAAGATGGTCAAAATAACGAAAAGCTTGAAATATTCAAAGAAACTCATTATTCTGCTCAGGAAGAAGAATCAGCCACTAAAATTCAAGTCTGGTTTCGCAGTGCTCTCCAAAAACAAAAAACTCGAAAACATAAAAATGATCCAATTCTAGAAAAGATTTATAACGAGATGGTAGTTTTTTGCAAAAACGAACTTTACTGGAATATTGATATTGAGAGGAAGGAGGAAAAAATATACCATATTATATTGAGAGGTATGATCGTAAATAACCTTGTAGATTTGACAAAGGTACAAGGAAAAATGGATGCTACAAAGGTCAAATTGCAAAAGGTAATCGATGATAGGAATTCGGATGAAGAAAAAAAAGAGGAATGTTTGGAATTACTAGAAGAATTAAAGTATGTTTATATCGTCATATTTCGTTCTTTTAAGTATAAGCTAATTTGAGTTTTTAGGTATATCCACCATGAGAATATTACGATACTGCTAGATTCATTATCAATATCAGAAGAGAACACGACCAAACATCAAGAAGCAAACATCGAATGGTTGAAAAACGAATCGCAAACGGCAGATGATTGCCTAAATGAGGTTTACCATTGGATGGAGAAATGCAATGATGTTCTGAAAAAATGAATTCCACGTTCAGTGAATACATGTATACATGTGCACGTACATGTAATTATCCGTTAGTCTCATCAAAATATCCTTATTAAATATCAATACATCATTATAACTGCTAATTAATACGCATCGAATCTTTACAAAGCTCAGAATAATTTCAGCATTGAATGAATTCCAAACTTAAGAGCGGGATAAATGTTTTGATTTTTCAATTTTTCATAATCTCAAGTGTAGCTAATCCATTACGTTTTAGAGCGTCCGATTCTATTTTTGAAACTAAGGTTCTATTAGAAAAACAAGCATTTGCTTTTATTTTAGAAAACGATCATTTCTACCTCAATTATAAATGGCGTATATGTAAATTGTTTTGACTTATGCAATTACAGATAAACTCTGTAAATGCAATATTACTAGAGATTCATAGAAATGCCAAGTATTTTTTCACTCGTCTTTTTTAAAGGAGGCCAATTATATGGTAAAAATTTTTCATGCGGACTGCACAAAATACCCCTACGTAATTCTCGCAATCAATACTGTTACGTATTGTTAAGAAATTCAAATCAAGGACTATATATGAAATATCGGATGAATCTATTCATTTTCTGGCGTTTACAGATGATTGGTTGATAGTTAACAGAAGAGTTGCCATATGAATTTTTAATTTTTGACAGCTGAATTGCATATTCTATGTTAAAACTTTTATCATCATTATTGTTCTTAATAAAACTTCGAGAAAGGATCAATGAAATGTCCAAACTTTGCGTGAAGCAGAGCTACATGGGTGCAAGGAACAAAAAACCAAGCTGAGATAATCAAAGGAGTGGCCGACGGTTGGTTTCTTTATATGTTCCGTTATATCAAAAATTCTAGAATATATGTACGAAGAAAAGTGTTAAAAAAATAATACATGTATATGGAATGTTGTGGCTTGTTTAATGCTTGTGTTTTAGATTTAATGTAACGTGAACCAACATGTATTAAATGCATTATATGATCGGCATAATTTATACCACGCCTCATTAAAATGTGGTTGCCAGCTCATTATTATCACCACTGCCTACTTTACCATCGCCAATACCCGACTTTTCAATATCAGCGCTATTATCCGTCAGATAATTAGTTTCCTTAACATTCAATGCGACAATCATCGCGCCAGGAATTGAGACAATCAGTAGAATCCAGCAAATAAGAAGTTGAGGAAGGAATGCGGTACCAACTGCGTCAATTCGCCAGGATATTGCCCCACCAGCTGATTGGATCGCTTTGTAAAATCTATATATTGCGAGTATTATTTGAGAACGTATTGCCAAGTAGTGCCTTGAAAACCATAAATTGATCTGGTCAAATTTTTCGGACAATAAAATTCTAAATTTACCCATTATAACGTGAAAGTTTTGCTGTATCGTTTGTTAATGCGCCCATTATCCAGTATGCGTACAACTATAATACAATGATTTATGAAGTATCTGTACGAACCTTAATTATTAAACCACAAAATGCGAAAATTAAAAATACATGCCTGAAACATTGCATCATTCCATCCATAAGCAATATATAGGATACATTTTTCCGCATACCCACGATCAAACAAATCCATTGGCGTAATCGTATCACTACGTCTATATGTCAGTTGGAAAATCAGCCCGCCAATCCAAGTAGCCATAAAAGTGAAAAAGAGAATCAATAGGCCAAAGATTGCTCGTTGTCGTCTACCGAAAAGTGGGGTGTCTAGAAATTTTCCAAAGACTAATGCGCCAAATATTTGTGCAATCCAATACCAGATATCGTTGAATGCACGAGTTCGTATGTTGAAATAGAATCCATTCACATCGTTAAACTACCGGATGTTATTTTTTTTTTGCTGTTAATATTGTCATTCATGATCAATAGAATAACGGAATTGTTGAATTACCTGATACGCGTAAAACCAGTTACTCGCCAAAAACATTGGAATCAAACAAATCATTCGCCAATCAAGAAATAATTTCATAATCTTGATTGATTCTGAGGTCCATGAAGGGAATCTTTCGACCGCTACGGCACGACCGTCTTTATGAAACACTTTACTTGGAGGTAACAATGCCAATGCAGAAAGTGACCCTAAGCTCATCAAAACCAAGAATCCTATATATGTGCCATCGTTTACAGATCCCTCTTTTGAATTCCAATTCAACACTAATGGGATTATTGACCCGAGCACAGCACCTTTTGAAACGACCGAGGAAAATTTTGAATCAAATTCTAATGAATATTTTTTTTAAAACATTAAAAGTTACCTAGATTAAATATCCCCCAAAAAATCCCAATATATTTTCCTTTATTTTTCTCGGAGGGATAAGAAGTCACAATGGCACCTTCACCGGTCCAAATTAACGCAGCGCCTATTCATTCAAATGAGAGGATTATTCATAGATTACTCATGATAAAACCATAATAATAATTTATATTTATACCAAGACCAAGTAAAGCACCAGCTGCAATAACGAATGCGTCATTTTTATTATGATTATAGTTCAGTAAAGAGCCAGCATACAAAGCAAAAGTAGTTCCACCGATTGCCATCGCATATTTCGGTCCTATTATGTTAACAATTCCTCCAGCCACTAGACCTCCAACTGAGAATGTTGTGTATAATGCCACATTTGCATTTGATGCCATTTTTGTATCTAATTGTCCACCCCCACCCATACCTATTATTTTATTTTATAATTTAAGCAATGTATTTAATTCGGGTATGAAAAGTTAGCTGTAATTTTTATTTGTGCTTACCATTCAAAGCATTAAACATTCCCGAGGTGAGCAATAATACGATCCCTATTGAATTGATTCAACTCTTTAGTTTCAAATATGCACACTAACAATAAAAAATTTTAGACCAAGAACATACTCACCAACAAGAATCACCTGCACCAGTGGTCTCGAATATAGTCCGGTCATTATTCTTAGTCAAGATTTGAATTTGATAATTTTTTATTTAATGAACCGTTTTCTTCCTTTTCGAAAATATTAAAAAACAGCTACAAAGATATCAAATAAACTGCTTGAAAGCAAAGGATTTACTGTATAAATATCAAAAGCTGTGCGTCGTGTTAATAGCAATAACAAATTTTAATGCATATTACATGTACGATATATCATCACATTGTTTCTCATAATAATATATTTTTTTATTTTTAGAAAATCAATGATAATTCATTCTGTTTGTTTGCTTAAAATAAAGGAGAATATACAGGTAATAAACATCATCTGACAAAATTTATGTGAACCATTGTTGACTTAACGTTAATTCACACATCAGAACATCTTCAAATTCTCCCAAAACACTTTATCCTCTACAAATTTTACACTCTCGATTCTACCTTCTTGTTCTTTTTGCTCTTTTGGAGTCTTTATCCGCTCCAAACAAAACGCCTCGTACATCTGAGGATGAAGATGTTGGTATTCCCGACGAGAACTTGATAACATTTTGCGATTCTTTTCGATTATTTGTCTAATCAAGGGTACGCATATTCGTTGAAAGGGTGTGTCAATTGGTTCATGTGTAAAGGGTTTCCACTTGTAGGTTATTTCCCATTGTGGAATATCTACAGGCAAATGATAATTTTTGCTGTTGGCTTTTAGCTGCTCGATGCGTAGGAATTTATCAAGTTTTTCTGGCCATTTGGACAGAGTTTGTTTAGTTTCCCACCTAAAAAAAATTAACTAAAATTTAGGAATTATCAATTAATTTCGTAAAAATAAATAATGCTGACTTGGTTTCTAATTCACCCATCCATTTCACCTCGAATATCTCTTCACCCTGTCATTTGGAAATAATAATTGCTACATGTGTTAAATAAGCTATTCGCTATATTATCTGATTCAACAACCATGGACCATCTTTTTAACCAAGATGGTTACTCAGGCAAGTTAATCGGTTCCAAACACCAATCTCATAATGGAATTCCTTTGATAAGAATGAGATAATTACATTTTCATATGATAAATTTAAAATTTTATCCAGCTTTTTTTCAGCGTAGGAATTTTTTTTCTCGCTCGACTTGTCTCTAACCTGAGAACTTTGACGACTTTTTCTTTGATTTTCCTTTGACATGTTTGGGCTTCTGTTAAAAAACCTGTTATCTGGAAAGTGTTGTGAAGTTACTTGAGAAAGTGATAAATTATCCCATATCATTTCGTGCGAAACTTCATTTCTGTTGTCGTTTGATAAAATTACTTGATGTTGAAAATTTCTCCACGTGGGCATTTTGAAAGCTTCATAAATTATTTTTTGACATATATTGGTGTTGTCACTTGATTTTAGAAAATCTTATCATATACATGTACTCATAATGTCGGATCGAGTATTTTTTTCTCGTCTCAGAAAAAACGATGTGTAATATTAAAAATAAACTAATCTTTCTTTATTTTCTCATGAAGTGAAAGTTAAATTTCGATTAACTAGGAGAGTAAAAGTTAGCATCTATTGTGCAAAGCAAGCAAATAAAAGTGGAACAATAAGAAAATGAAAGATGCTAAAATCTATATTTAATATACAATCTATATAGATTACTGGTGCCTTTAAAACTCCCGAGCTACCGGGAATGAATCAAACGTGAAACAATACAAGATGTGAGCATCTACATCGATATACAATTTATTTAGTGACTATGATCTTTAGGCAAATTTGCTGGTTCCTTTTAAGGCTCACAAGCTACCGGGAACAAATCCAATGTTCCAAGCAGCGCGACAAGCAAATGCGCATTAGTACAATTAATTTTCTCGGTCGGCTTCATGGGTGAACGCGGGGATGGAGCATTTACTATTTTTGCTTCGGCGGGGGTATCCCGAGGAGCCTGGTGTTCCAAGGGGCTAGGGAATCACATGGCGGCTTTTATGAGTGGACGCGGGGGGAGAACGTTTCACGTCTCCTTGCGCGTGGGAAGGACAGGAAAAGCACGGTTGTGCCCAACGGCGGACAGCGTAGGATTGGGGCTGTTTGCTTTGTTTTCGGGCAAAGTCCCTTGTGAACCGGATGTGTTCTCTGGTGGTTCCCCAATGCGGATATGCGATTGTCTGTTTTACTTCGGGTAAAGTCTCTTGAGGGTTCACCCTTGGGGATTCGGGCAGGTGCCGAGATAGAGCGTGGGTCACTGGATGAAGGATGTAAACATCGCACTTGAGATGAATATGAATAATATTTAATATGATTAATTATATACAGTATTTACTACATAAATAGGAACTGTTTAAGTCCGATGCTACTTATTTTTATTATATAAATAGAATCATCAAAAATTTAATTGATGACATATTTGATCACATGGGTGGACAGACGGACAAATTTTTTTGCTAGTATACCTGGAAATGTAAGTCCTCCGGACAATAATTCAACAAAAAAATGTTGAACATTTATTCGATATACTTTTTCGTGAACACACAGATATTATTGATATGGTATTATTAATCTATATATAGAACGCAAATTTTGACGGTGTTTTTTTGAAACTTATGAAAGCGATGAAGAAATTGTACTTGGTGGAACTTGAGCGTTTCTAAACCGACGGTTAGATGGGTTGGCGGAAGGAACAATGAAATCTGGATGAGTTCTATAGGTCTAATATGATGACGATTGTATTACAACTAGAGCTTACCGGTCGAACCGAATCATATAAGATTCGCTCGATTCGATTCGAATTCGAATCGGCAAATTATTAACTGAATATTCGAATCATCGAAGCGAACCATCGAATCGAACCATCGAATCGAACCATCGAATCGGACCATCGAATCGGACCATCGAATTGGACCATTAAATTCAACTTTTGCAACGAAACATGAAATCAAACTCTTATTTATAATATTTTTATTAAAATCTAAAATTCTTCATTATAAAAACCAAATATATCATAATTTTTGTGATTTCTTTTTAAAAAAAGCATTCCAGAAAGCAAATCAGAGCTTAAACATGTTCTTTTGACTGATAAATGCATTTCTGCATCAGAAATAAGCGTTCACTTGGTACAGATGTAGCCGGAATAGATAAATATTTTTTTGCCAAATCATAAAGAATTGGCAAAAAAGTTATTCTATCTTGCCACCATTTGAGAGAATCACAATTTTTTTTGATTGGAAGTTGTATATATAAACTTACTTCATCTTGAGATGTTTCTTCTCTTTCTTGATTAGAATCATCAAATATGTCTTCTAAAAATCTTGAACTGCCGGATATTGTAGATTGTTGTTGTTCTTTATTTCTTATGATGTTATTTATTTGATTATTTTCCACATTTCATATGTCATGTAATTTCGTAATAGTATTAAATATGTCTTCTTCATTCTCAAAAAACCAAAATTTTTAAGTCACAAATTTAATATTATAGAAATTATAGCAATTTTCCCATGTACTTCCCAATATTGTTTCATTAAGAAATAAAATATTTCTTTAAACATATTCAATAAACTATTGGTTTGAACATGTAATTGAATTAATTGACAGTTTTTGAAAAGTGAATTTGTATTTGTTCTTCTTATCTTTCAACTTGATTACAATTTCTTTCAATTAAATTGTATTTCTTGATTCACTTCTTGTTTGAGTTTTTTTGTTTTATAAAATAATTAATAGTTGTTGAAGATTTCTATTAAATTATGAATCAAGTAAAATATCTTTATCAGAAACATTAGAATTAGATTTATTTTGATTTGATTCAATAGTTTCTTTGACATTTTCTAATAAAAAAATAAAATATTATTCTCATAATTTATTAATAATAAAGAGTAAAATTATAATATATATCACTAGTTCTTTCAATAGATCAAATAAAATTTTAGCATAATAATTATCATTATTATTAGATAGAGAAATCTTTTTTATAAGTTTTATTATTAATAAATAGACAAGATTTAGAGTAAAATACTCTGTTACTGATAAAATTTTAGTTATTTTATATTATGAATAAAGTATATTCAAAACTTTATCAAGTAAACTAACAAATTAATTATCAGTAAATTATTTTTTTTTAAAAAAATACATATATATATATACTTTTATTTATTATTTATTAGTGTAATTTCTTTTAAATATAAATTATTAATTTATATATCTTAATCAGAAATAAATTTTAAAGATCTAGCTAATATTTAAATTATATAATACAAAATATTAAGTCTTTCTTAAGCTAGATATATCAAATTCTATCATGTTTTAATATTAGTTAAAACTTTATATTATTTATTCATGCCAATTTATTTTTGATATCTTAGTTATAAATAAATATAAAATATGAGCTATACAGCTTAAGTATAATATATTGAATAGTAAATAAATAGCTTTTTTTATATTAGTATTATTATTTATAGTTACTATGAATACTTTATTAGAGATATGCTAGTGATCAAGAATATTAATCAATAATTTTGAATATTTTCTGCTATATAAGAAGAAGAAAGTACTTTAATTGATAAAAGAACTTTTTAAAATTTCTATTTATTATTTAATTATATAGCTATAATACTAATAAAACTTTTATTTATTTGTAATAATCAAATATCTATAATAATATTAATAACTTTAATATTTATTAAAATTTTTATTAGTTAATTACATAACTATTTATATGCTTTATTAATTAGTAATTATATCTTTTCATCTCTTAGAATTTTAAAAGTAGATTTACAAGCTAAAATAAATTTACAAAATAACTAGTATTATAAAAAAAGAATAGCTGATAATTATCAATTATCTATTTGATCAAAAGCTTAATAAGCTATTATTATCATTATCATATTATTTTTTTTCTTTTTAATTATTTATTCATTAAATATATTATTATTATTTTATTTTAGTAAAAAATAGAATTAAATTTTAATTATAAAGGAGATATTTGAAATATAGTAAAAAATTGATGAAATATAATATTTTTAATAAAAATAATTTATAGATATTTACTTTTTTTGTTGGATTTTTATTTATGATATTATAAATATTAGCTAAATATGATATCATATTACTAGTCAAGTTATTATATTTGAACTTTTTAAGTTCTTTATATACATATAATTTATATTATGCAAGTTCTTTGTGTATTCTGACAAACTTATAATAGTTTTTTACTCATTAAACTAAAGATCAATTTCATTACTTTTTCTAATAATAAATTAGCAGAGATTGCAACAGATATTTCAAAAAAGAATAGCAAACTTGCAAAAGATCATAAATGAAAAATCTAGTTCTATTAAAAGTGATGAAACTGATAAACTAAGATATGATAAAGTTGATAATTCATTATCATCATTTCAGAAGCATTTGAAATAAGTGACAAATGTCTTTGCTTTTCCTTTTCAGCTATCATTCATGCAGTCTGGCAAAAATAAATCAATGAGCCATTCCTTTTATATCAGGATTCGAATCACTTCTTCGATTCAATGATTCGAATCAATTCTTCGAATATTCGAACCGAATAATTTAAAGGATCCAGATTCGAACCGGTTCGAATCCGGTTCGACGTAAGCTCTAATTACAACAATGAGATTTAAACAATATAATACATGCAAGTCAATAACATATCAAGGATAAGGATGCTAACGACTCGACTCTAGTCGACCGACTCTAAAAAAAGTCGACTTTTTTAGAGTCGGTCGACTGAGTCGATTGTTGACAATCAACTAGAAATCATCGGGCATTTTTTTGGTGGTATATTTGGTGTATGGCTTCGATAAATTCTCTACTCTCATGGTGGTCATTTTTTCGTGAACTGCTCAGTTTCGGTTATCGGTTATGATCTCCAGTAAACTCTCTGTCTTGCTTCTCGATGTTATACTCTTCGCATTGTTTAATAAGTAGTTTTTTGAACATCATTTTTGTAACCAAGAAGTTTTAAATGTCGTGTAATAGTTGGTTGGGATGCCACTTTATTAAATTTTACCGTCAAATTCTGGTAGTAATAGTGGAACATATTGATCAAATTTTGACAGTTTCCGCAGTAATTACTTCTGGACGACCGGCACACGTTGCCTGTTTTTGAATTTTAGAAGATTACATGTGTATATTTTAGCAGACCGCACACCATTCATCCATCATTACAAAATCGTTTGTTGTTGTCATTCACGATTGGTAGTCATTCGGATTAATAATTTTACGAAAAAAAGAAAAGGAGCTAAAAATTGCATGTTTTGTGAAACGTTTTCCTCTAATAAAGTTATTTATGTTGAATCACACTGTATTTCTAAATATCATAGATTTTATTGTTATTAAATATGACATTTTGTTTAAGTCAATGAAGAATGAGTTCAAATCGTGAATTCAACAAAGTGTGGCAATGACGTGTCAATATAACAAGAAACATTAGTTCTATCGCGAAATTTATCAGAATTTAATGTGTTATTTAAAAAGTAATAATTGTTTGAATATGTTATTTCATCTAAGCTCTAGATAAATATTTTCTGAGCTTCAAATTCCTTAAAAAATATTTCCAATACATCTCAGATATGTACTCAAAATCTGATTTTTGAATTTCCCTTAATGCCCTAAAAAGTTAATTGTTAGCGTATGACTTACCTATGGGCGATTTACACGTATCGGTACATGGTAATCGATTACATTGTTACGCGCAATTCAGAAGTTATTTGGACTAAAGAATTACAAACGCAACAAGAATCGAAAGCTAGACTCAATGATTTACACAGAGTGGGATATCACTAGAGTTCTAAAGGTCTCCTGTGTCAATCTACATTGAGATTGTGCAATAAAAGGGCAAGTAATTTAAAGAGGCAAGGTAAGGTATAAATTTAATAACTTTAATCCAAAAGTTCAAAATAAAACTCAATTACTAACAAAATATGACTTTAATTTCAAATAACTAAATAACTATACTAATTTACTAATAAAATGCAAATAACAACCAGTTCAAATCACAGTATCATGATATCAAAAAAATAATCAATACTCAAATGAAAAGTATGATTCATCAACTTTGTATGATCAAAGCAACAAAGTCTTCGATTTTTTAAGCACAAAAGAAATAAAAGCCAAACAATGTTAAGTAAGAGTTAAAAATGATTATGCTAAAATGTTTGGGATTATAGGTCGAAACTATTATTTACATGCCAAAACGTTCATTACATGTCAAAATGTTTGGGATTATGACAAATAAGAAGTGATTTGTATTTGGGATTTGACCAAGTTCCAAACCTGTCGCATCCCTATTTACCTTTGCCGAATTATTTCTATGCGTTATGTAATAATCTATTTATTATGCTGTTTATGCAAAATCATTGTCCCTGCGCCTCACCTACATGCTGGTGTATTTATAAAACTGTTCATGTACTAAGTAATCCAGCCAATCCAATCAGTTCAATCACGTGCAACTACAGAGCAGAGGTCGGTCGGAAGATGGTTATTCGCGTTCGACATTCACGTTACCCCTCGTACATCCTTTTGGCCATAATTTACATGTAAATAAAGAAGCACTTATGAGATCTTTTTTGGGGAATGTATTTTTTCTTGCTTCTCCTATCATTCGTGTCTTAGATTATACGTAAATGCGACAAATCCCTCACGACAAACTTTAAATTATCTAATGACGCATCGGAATTCACCGAGATCTCTGTCTTGAAATATCCCCAACTTTTCCCATTGACATTGACTTTGTCAATAGTAGTTGGAGAAATAGAAGACGATTGCTGTTGCGCATTTACAGTTGATCTTTTCATGGCTTTACGGTTTTTATTAATTTTATTAAGCATATTTTTCATGCTTTCTTCGGTTTTCTTGATTAGCTGCTCGGTGGCTTGTTTTCCTTGACGATGAACCTTCAATTGCTCTTTTGATTTTCTCCTTTTGAAAAGGTTATCGGCTTTAGATGCGTATTCCGCCGTACTTAATTCACGTGTAATCTTTTGAAGTTCGGTTTGAAGAGCCGTATAATATGCCGCAAGATCTTTTACCGGCTTCGGCATATGAACGATCGTCTTATTGGCTGAAATTGATGCAGAGAGTTTGACAAAGCCGACACCTTCGATCTTTAGATTAATATAAAAATTTCAATTAATAAGGAATGAAAAACTAAAAACGCAGAGAAATTAAATACCGAATTATCGTCTATTCCTATTTCTCTAAGTGATGTATTTACGTATAATGAGTCGCTCAACTTTTCAGCACCTTCATCACCAAAACAATTGCCTGTCAAATCTAACTTCTGCAATGTCTTATTTTTCTTTAACCCATCCAATACCTTTCCTAATTTCGGACCAAAGCGAGTTCCTTCTCCTCCACCAGCAAGATTCAATGCAAGCAATATGTGATTCTCGGCCAGCACTTTTTTGAATAAATTGGCTGTTTCATCATCAATATCACATGCCAATTTTGGAAATGAAATATCCAAAACAGTGATTTCTCGATTAGCGCACAAGCTTTTTAGAAAAGTGCAGAGTTGTGATTCATTCCATTGTACATGTGATAAGCCAAGCCAACGAGGTGTCTGATTATGTGCGACACAATTAGAGAATTTATCGAAATCAAGAGCGATTTGGTTTCCGCCCACCAGTAATCGAATATCACGTCGATTATTATGCTCCATTGCCTCCAAAAGTTTAGAAATGTTCTCGCTAGATAGATTGCAACTTTCCAACGATAATATCTCCAGATTTGACGACATATCAGTGTTGTTTATATATTCAACGAGCGTGAGAACAGATTTTTGAGACATTTCTGTCCCAGAAAATACGAGTTCAGTTATTGTCTTTAAATCAATCTTAGGTAAATTAAGAGTAAAACCTGGCCAATCACCGAGTCGTAATACACGAATTGATTGAAACTTTGTAAATATTGAATTAAGATAATCTTTTCCAATATTCAAACAATTCCCAGTGAGATCAAGTAATTCGAGTTCCTGGGGAAATCGAGTAAGTAGATTATCCAGCACAAGTTTAACAGTATCCTTATGTAAACGATTTGAAGAAAGATCCAAGACTTTGATTGGCTTGTTGTGCACTTGAATCCCTTCTATTAATAACAAAACATCTCGATGAGACATTTGATTACCACCAAGGTGCAACATTTCAATTCCAGTTGTTTCTGATTTGAGCGCAGCTCCGATCGCAGATAATACTCCCTCTCCTCTGAGATTACAATTTGATAAATCTAATTTTATTAGCGTGGAACTTTCAGATAATAAGGAATATAGCTCGATTAGCAAAAGGTTCAACTGTTCTGTTGATACATTTAGGTTTTTTGCTGCAATTTCGTTTACTGATTGACTTTGATCAAATTGCACATCTGATAGTTGATCAATCGGTCGAACAGAATACGGATCGAATGTTTCTAGTGAAGCTATACTGCACCTGAAGACTATTTCATGAATCAACGGATTATATCTCATTGCACGCAAAATAGCTAGTAATTCAATTGCAGTATATTCAGATGAACCTGTTAAACCTTTCTCAACGTTTGGAGCGAAAATTGTTATCCGTATGCCAGGCGATATACTTCGTAATATTCCATTTGCTGGTTCAATTCCATTATTAAGATCAGGATTAGTTGCAAGATTGTCGACTGTTCTTGAGGCGTTTTGAGAAACGATAAGTTCAACATTAACCGATAGACGTTCACGATTAACACCATAAGATTTACAAAAAGCTTCCAATAATCGCAGGAATCCTCCATCCGAGGTAGTATCATTGGGTTGCGAACCACTTCTTATCGTGAAAACAGAATGAATTTGACACAATGGTTGTTTATACCAAGGAGTGAGAGATTCAACTGCCATTTGAATTTCCCGTGCGATTAATTCACATGCGGATGAGGAAACATAAACGACATGTGGTTCTTCAAAAGGTTTTCGCACTATTAATTGTAGTGTATCATCTAAACCTTCCAATAATATATGAGATATCGAAAGTAATCCAATTGTTTGCTCTTGATGATTAAAATTTTTTGACGCGTCGCTTGGATCTGATTCCCAATAAGGAATAATAAAAAGATTATTTTTTCCCAAAGCCAAAATAACAACTTGACTTTCTTCATGAGTTTTATTCGCCGCTATTAATTTATTTTTCGTCTTTTTCAACAACACCACACGGTACGCCATAAATTTCGACCTTTCTGGTAGTTCGACTTGCGATAGCAATATATCGCTGACTGATTCCCGATGATAAGGCAAAAGCGTGATTGCGCGTGGATTACGTGGTATCATATCACGTAATTTTTTGAGACATTTCCGATGTTTGTTGACATCGTTTGCTGTAAATGTTACGTGATGTAGAGCTCGAGTTTCGTCACTTGGATTTTGACGTTCATAATCAATTTGTATTCGTAAACGATCCGAGTTTAATTCATGTACGGCCAATACATCGTCGAATTCAAACAACACATATTTAGCAGGCAATAGTAATGTTTCATGTCCAGCTAAAGTGTTAAAATATTCACTGGCACGTTTATAATTCTTGAATCCTAATGCTGATTTCTTTGTCAAAATTATGTATTCTTGACGCTGTCGTTTATTCATGTGTCCACCCTCTCGTATTAATTCATCTTTATATACTGCCTCTCTTTGTCCTATATTGATTAATGAACGCCCACTTCTTGTAATGTTATCATTCGATGAGTTTGTGGTTATTGTATTACGACGATGAGAAAGATTATGCAAACTAACATCAGAATCACTCGAAATATTCTCGCCATAATCACGCGAAGTAAATGAAGGATCCCCTTCATCACTAGAAGTATCGGTACTGTACGAGCTCATATTAATTATATCAACTTGTTCTTTAATAGAAATATTGTTGTAATTGTGATCCAAGATGTATTGGTATACGTAATATATAACGAAACTTCATTACACAATTTGCATTACACAATTCATAATGATGATTCGCTTTTTGGTTTGACCAATTGTAATTCGGTAATTTAACATGCATCCTTTTTCTGTGTGTTTATATGCAAATTCTTTAACCCTTTCATTGTTCGATTTCCCAAATAACACTATATTATATGTATATCGAGATCCACAAAAAGTAAAAAATAACGATAGCAGAACTTGGGATGCTAATGAGGAAATGGTTGCTGTGATACATAAAATTGTTTATTTGCACGCATCAATCGACATCGTGTGTAATTATTTACGGTTTCATTGAGGTACATTGTTTGTGCCACTCACAGTTATTATTATTGAGAATTTAAGCAATGGTATATAAATGTCATAAAGATAATGTGCTAAAATATGCAATTTACGTAATTACATGACTTTAAAGAATATCAATTTAATTACCTCTTAGAACCTAAAATGTAGTGATGGACTCGACATTTTTACTGATCATGTGATTTATCGAACTGATCTGATATACATGTACATGTACGCATAAATATTTATCAATCAGATCGCAAGATCAGTGTGTAATGCAAAATTTTATCTACAATATATACTAAATAAATTTATCAAATTAAATTTTAAGAGACAAACATAAGAAATCTTAAATGAATATTACTTAATATCTGAAGAAGATGAAATAAAAGAAGAAAATGAAGAAGAACTTGAAGAATAGTTAGCAAATTTAATGATTAAGATCTATAATTATGAAGATAAAGAAAAAATACCTAAATAAACTCATGAATATGATGTAAACTTTGATCTTAGATATCCTGAAAAAGTAATTTATATTCAACCTTGTCAAACTATTATGATTAATCTTTATTTGGTAATTGAAGTTTCTGTAAGAATTATTTATTAATTAATATCTCAATCATCTCTGATTAAGAAAGATATTAAAATTAAAAAAGGAATAATTAATGCTAGTTATATTAGAAATATTGGAGTTCTCTTATATAATAATTCAAATGAACCTTATGAAATCCAACCTAATGAATGAATTATCCAAGCAGTCTTTCTATAACTTGTTCCAATTGAAGGAATGAATATTGTAAATACTAAAGAAGAATTAGAAGAATTCTCTTGTGAAACTCAAGAATTTGGATTAACTAGAAAGAATAAAATAGAAGTATGCTTTCTAGATAAAGAAGAAATTAAAAAAATAGTTAAATAAAGAGAATTAACTATTAGACAACAAGATGCTCTATATAATCTATTGCAAGCTTATAAAGATATCTTTACATCAAATCTAAATGAACTTAGATGAACTAATATAATTTAGTACTCAATTGATACTAAAAATAAAAAGCCTATCCATTAAAAGACTTGCAAAATTATTATTCCTAATCAAGAATTTATTCATGATGAAATTCAATGAATATTAGATATAGATATCATTCAAAAATCCAATAGTCTCTAGATCTTATCTATTATTATAACTGCAAAGAAAAATAAGAAATAATTTTGTATTAATTACAGAAAACTTAATATTCTCATCAAGAAAAAATAACTATTTTTGTCATAAATTGATAAGATAATAGATAATCTTGAAGATTCAAAATGATTTTTATTTATGAATCTTATCTCTAATTATTAGCAAATCAAAATAGAATTATTTAATATAGAAAAGATAGCATTTATTTCAAGAAAAGAATTATATAAATTCAAAATTATATCATTTAGACTTTGTAATATACCAGCAACTTTTAATAAGCTATAAATAGTATACTTGAAGATTATAATTAAAAATTCATCATGATTTATATAGATAATAAAAATATATATTCAAAAATATAGAAAGAATATCTATCATATTTACAAAAAGTTTTTTAATAAATTAAAGAAACTAGACTAAAACTCAATTTAGAAAAATATAATTTTACTTGAGATAACTTATTCTTTTTAGAATATATTATTACTTAAGATAGAATTTTGCCTAATTCTTTAACTATTTAATAAATTCAAGAGTTTTCTATATTAACAAATATCAAAAAGCTTAGATTATTTTTAGAACTAGCTAGATATTATAGAAAATTTATTAAAAGATTCTTACAAATAGCAGTATCATTATTTAAATTTTTAAAGAATGATATTATTTTTATTTGAATTATAAATCAAGAAAATGCATTTTAAACTTTAAAAAAAACTTATCACTATTTCAATCTTAATTTATCCTGACTTTACAAAGAAATTCTATATTGATATCTCTAACTCTGAACTTGATATAATATTATCTCAAAAAGATAATAAAGAAAGAGAATAAGTAATAGCTTATGCAAGTGTTTTACTTAAACTAGCAAAAAAGAATTATAGTATTACTAAAAAAGAAGCTCTAGCTATAGTCTGAACTATTAAATAATTTTAACATTATCTTGGATCTTTCTTTAAAATCATTATTGATCATAATATACTTTAATAATTATTTATTAAATAAGTTAATTCTAAATTTTAAATTTTATATTAAATAATAATCATAATGAAATATAATTTTATTATTATCTATTAAGCTAAAAAAAACTAATCAAAATGCAGATACTCTCTCAAGAATATATTTACAAGACTAAAATAGTAGAATTTACTTAATTAATAAAATAATTGAAATAACTTTACTAAAAAATAATTAAACAGATTATTCAATCTTAATTAATTTAATATTATAAATTTAATTATATATTATAACTTAATAATATATTTAAAAAATAAAAGTTATCTTATAAAATATACTAAGAAATAATAAAAGAAAATTTGTTAATAATTAAAATATTTTTTAATAATTAATAGAATACTTTATAAGAAAAATAGAAGAAAAGAACCTATCATATCACTTTGAATACTGAAAAAAATGAAATTGAAATAGTAATAACTAGTATACATTAAGATTTACTTGCTAAACACTTTGAATTTGATGAAACTTATCAATAAATAACTATTAGATATTGATGAAATAGAATGAAAATAGATATAAAGAACTTTGTTAAATCTTGTAAAACTTATCAAAGAACTAATGAATGAATTACAAAATAATTCTTATATTCTATTAAAGTTGGATAGTCTTTTGATAAAATTATAATTAATCTTATTAGATCTTGCAAAGTAACTAAGAAAAGAAATTAATATATTATTATAATAATAAATTTATTAACTAAATAGTCTGAAACAAATGCAATTCCAAATAAAAAAGCTAATATAATTATCAAATTTATTTTTGAAGAAATAATTTATAGATATAAATATCCAAAAGAATTACAATCTGATCAAGAAACTGAATTCATAGCTCAAGTAATTGAAGAATTCATTACTTAATTTGAAATTAAATACAAGTTTTTATTATTATATTACTTATAAACTAATAGAATAATAGAATAATTTAATAAAACTATATGTGAAATACTTCAAAAATATTATATTATATTAGATAAATAATAGAATATATACATATTATCAGTATTATTTACATACAAAACACTTTGAAATAATATTATTAAATATCTTTCTTCTTAACCTATAAAAAAAATATTTAATTACCTATTAATTTGAAATATCTATTATTAAAGAAGATAATAAAAATAAAAAGAATAAAATATTAAACTGAATATTTTCTTTAATTCATTATATGCCAGATGATATCAAAACAGTACAAAATTAAATTAAAAGATAGTAATAATAAATAAAAAAAAGATATAATTCAAAATTATAAAGAATTACACAATTTAAAATTAATAATAAAGTTTTAATATATAATATGAAATAATATATTACTCATGAAAATAAATTTCAGTCATAATAGAATATAAAATAATTTTATATTTATAAAATTCTTGATAATAAGATTTATAAATTATGAAATTAATATAATTAATTATTATGCAAAACTTTTAATAGTACTTAACTAAAATCTTATCACAATAAAAATAACTATTTTGAATCAAAAATAATTATTAAATACATAAAAATATTATCAATAGAAGAAGAAAATGAAGAATAGATTTTTAGTCTCATGATATTTATTTATTTATCTCTTAATTTTACATATATTTTATTTAGTTATACATATATATATATATATATATATACAGATCTTTTATTAAAAATTTTATTTTATAAATATAAAGCTTTTACTTTGATATTTTTTTAAACTTTTATCACTTTTTATTATTTTAATACTCTTATTATCTAGTTTAATTTCTTATTAATATTTAACTCTTTAAAGATAAATACTCTTTTTAATAATTTCAATTTTATTTAAAATATTCTTACTCTTTACTAATAATTAAAAAATAATGAATTTAATAAAACTTTGTAAATTAATAAAGATTAATTAATACTTGAAGATAGTAATTAAAAAGTTATCTATGATCTTATTATTAAAAAATAACTTAATTCTAATATAATTTTGGAGATATCTCAAAAATCAGAACTAATTATAAAAGAAACTTCAACTTAAGTAGATAAATTATAAGATAGAATAAGAATAAAATAATTTATGAATATTATAAATACTAAAATTTTGAGAATAATAATTATAACTAATATTAATTATTAATTTCAATCTAAATAAAGCTGAAAAATAAGAGTTCAAATAATTTTTAATATTCTATTTAAAAATTATGATAATTAATCTGATGAATTATAATTTATTAGATATTATTATTTTGGATAACTACTTAAGAAAATACCAAGATAATACTTACAAAAAATCAATAAAATTACAAAAAGAATTAACTCAGTCAAAAGAAATAACTTTAATCAAAAGATATTTTCTTTTTGAAAAATAAATTTATCAGCTATTATTAAAATATGTACTTGAAAAGATCTATAACTATTAATGAATTATATATAATAATCTTGTATATATAAGAAATAATAAAATTAAAAAAATT